TATTGCCCCCTAACTATAGAAAAAATCCACTGGACGAGAAAGTGAATTCCGCGCTGCTGCTGAGTCGTCGGACTTATCCACCAAGGGATTCGTGGAATTTTTGTGGATTGCGTTGGGGGAAATCTACCAAAGCTAGGCAGATAGATAGACTCCTTTCCCGCCCGCTGCTAAGGAAGAGCAAGAAAAAATGGAAATGATAGTTTTTTTTTAATCAGCGTCCCCTTTTGGGTATGCAGATACTAAGAGTCCTCTCACTACCAACCAGTAGACATCATCCGGCTGGGTCTTGCCGGTATCAACAACGAGAAAAAAACAACCAAATGAAAACAGCAACTAACTATGGCTCTTGGCCCAGACAACGTCCTAGGCGTAGGGGGGATCGGAGCAAGAGGGAAGGCCTAGACGGACGTTTTTATTCCTGGGCTGCAGTAAGTAGATCGAGAGGTCGTTCCGCCCCTTGTCCCCGAAGATGGGTAATATGTTCTCAAAAAAAGTTGCTCCAATCTGACCTAGCTGGCGAGCGATCCCAGTTCGCGGCAGAGAACAAGACAGCAAGCGAGCGTACCTTTGTTCGCTTCTTCTCCACCAAGCACGAAAGTTTAAGGATAACTGTAGGTCAGTGGTTACCTAAGGAAACTCCGATTCGATCCGCCCCCTAAGGGAGGCATCTCATCCCGATCACAAGGAGAGGTTCACCATGATGGGGGGTACTTCTTTTTTTTCCCTTCCGGAAAGAATGAAATGCATAGGGGACCATCCTTTTGTTGCGGCATGCTCTTCAGATTTACGAATTCGCAGGGGGCCTCAGGCCCTACTTAGTTTCGCAAGCCTTTGTCATTGTCAGTCAACTAAGTAGGGCCTTTTGAATTGAATCTTAAGTAGTCTATCAGTGGTGCGAAGCGGCTTTGCCCCTTTTCAGTAGGGGAGCGAAAGGTTAGACCTTAGAAAGTAAGCGAACAGCGGTTCTTCTATGTAGGCATGGCGTTCCCCCTCTCCTTTCAGTCGAGCTACTTCGTTCCTCTCCTCTCCTAACGTCGAGCTACGTAACTTCGTAACCTTTGCGTAGCGTAGTAGAATGAAGGCTACGCACCGACGCTCTCTTATCTATTAGCCTAAGCGTTTTCGCTAACTCGCTCGCCTATTTACACCCTACTATACAATACATTAGTAGGGTAGGCTACTTCAATGACGTAAAGAGCCGGAAAGCCGAAAGGGTCGCCGCCTTCAGAAGCGTTCGCCGCAAAGCGTCACTCCTTCCTTTTTATTATGTCGTGACGCTTACTTTTTCCAATCCATAAACCCCGAAGCGAAACAAAGTTCGTTCCCTTTCGTCAAGTAGGTAAAGTAGGCGAACCTATAGGTCCTTAGTAGCGAGTAGCGTTGACAAAGAAGAACATAGGTTAAAAGACAGTTCATCTTTTTATTTATATCCTTATATATTCTAATTAGAATATATAGCCAGCTTGACAAGCTACCCTTCTTATTGATCTGAGGTGCGAAAAGAAACATTTCTTTTTTATGACTTCCACTTATCGATCCCGGCCTGGAAAAGTGGCCGACCAGGGCCCTATTGATGAATAAAAGAAAGGGTTTCTGAGCCCTAGCCTTTGTAAGCCCACACCTGTGTAGAGTAGATCGTTCAACACCTGCGGCACAAACCCATTTTTGACCTATTGGTCCTAGTATCATAGGCGACCGAACGGCCGCCCCCTAATTACTAGACCGACCTGCTATAATAATTCCATAAACACCTAGCGAAGATATGGCAAACAAATAAAGTAGCCCTATGTTCGGATCTGACAATACCATACCATAATCAAAAGGTACAACGGCCCGAGCGACCAGACTTAACATAAATGTAGCCACTGGAGCCATTCTAAAAAGGGAGAAATTAGCACTACTTGGTGAAATAGGTTCTTTTAGAATCAATTTCAAACCATCTGCTAGAGGTTGTAACAATCCGAACGATCCCACTACATCAGGACCCTTTCGACGTTGCACAAAAGCCATTACTTTACGTTCAGCTAGCACTAAAAAGGCTACTCCTAGTAGAAGTGGTAGAATTATTCCAAGTATTTCAGCTGGAACTGCTATGTACGTTTTCGATTTTCTATTCATTCATGATCTGGCCTGGTCGAGTCGACCCAATCATGATCTTGAAGGATGGGACCTTTTCTCGAAAAACCCAGGATCCCGGGAAGAGTTGACGATGGTGCAACATCAAAAATCCTCTTACGTTACTTCGAATGGAATCGTCAGCCTGCCTCACTTGCTTTCTTTACTGCATACAGATTTGTGATTGAGTCAATAAAATGCTCTGGGTCTGGAATCTCTTCTCTTTTGCATTTCCGCTTTTTCGTTCTTTCTTCGTGTCCGTTCGTATCGCAAAGCGGGTCGACGCCAGCTATAATGGTTGAAAAGAGGGGGGCCAACCAAGACCCCCTAAAAAAGCTTTGTTCGATAAAGCAAACGATTCGTTCCGACAACTTCGGATCAGATTAACCCTTTGAATTAAACGATCTTACAAAATAGATCGGGCGGGCTGGTTGGGAAGGGGTTATTAGCGGAGAAAAGAATCGCTGAGAGATAGATTATACTATTTAGTCAGGACGAATGAGTGGCTGTGCAGCATGCTCCGGAGGAGATTGACCCTTCCCCGAGTCAGTCCAGTCAGAAAGGGGAAGGCCCGCTGTCTAGACTGCATTTCAGGAGTTTGAACACCATCCCATTTCAACCAAAAAGACAACCCTGTCAAAGATATCTAACCTTCCTTATGAGTGGAAATCCAATCCCGTTTTGTCTTTTTTGCAAAAAAACCAGCCAACCGGTAATTTATATTTCTAATATATATATATTATTTTAAACCCGTTCTTCCGATCATTTTTGAAAAGCGCATAGTTTCTCTCCTCCAAAAATTACCTCTCCAGCCGGGGAACGCATGAGATATTTACCTAAACCAAGTAGGTCCTTGAGCGGATCCCACGTTAGCCCCAAGAGGTTGGTTTCTAACTAGAAAAGTAAATGCTTGAGCTTGAGTGAGAAGGGCCTCCTCCCCCCGCAGGTATTTTGCCTGTATGGTGTTTACCGGGTGGGACCCTCGATCCGGAAGGTATGCCACTATCAGCTACTATCTATATATGCTATATATGTCTGCCTCCCTTGAAAGCTCCTGGTGCTGCGACTATCACCGATAAGTTGCGTCGGATCAACATCGGGATTAGAATCAACTGCAAAAGCAACTAAGTCAACGCCTATTTGCTCTGGATCTACTGGCCCGGACGCTTGAATCTATTCCACCGCAAACAATCGAATATACTACTGCAGGATCTTCCGCTGCTTCTGTTGTTATTGCTCTCACCTGTCACTACGCCACCTCAGGAGCTGGGACTGGAACTGCTTTCGCATATGGCACTCCCCAACCTTTTCTATCTATCCTTATAAGTAGGATAAAAAAGTGTATAAAGACCGGGTTATCTCTCTGAATCAGGTTATTCACTGGGCTGTTAAGCCAAAGAGTCTTCTAGGGTTGATCGATCCGTTTCAAGAGGATTCATCCAAGACTGACGATTTCGTTAATTCTAAGGAGGAACCTATTCCATAAGGAAGATGAGAGGAAAGCAGGCTTGAAGGCATACATAGTTGGCTGGTTATTTCTCTTTCCTATCCCTGCTGCTACTGCAAACCTACATTCAGAGAATCTCTGGTAGAGGGGAGTCGAGAAAAATGCAGTAGGAGTAGCTACTTCTTTCATGGCTTTAATTTGAGCTTCAGATTCTGAATCTCCATAAATGGGTATGGGTATGACTGGTTAAGGTGACCAGCTTTGCGCGGCAACCGCAAGTTAAGGTACTTTGGATTTGTTATAGCGCCACCATTTCACAATATATATTGTCCGGGAAAGCTAGTCTTGGGATTGCTGTTTTATCCTACTGGCGCTCTTCTATGAAAGTTGAGGCTTTACTCTAACTGGTCTGTTAACGTCTCCTTGCTACGGCCTTTTTTAATATCCCTAACTTGGAGGGTTACTCGAATCTTTCGTTTTTGTACTCTACTCGTTCCTTGAAGGTGTCCAATTAATTAATAGTAATTTGAGGACGGTTAGTGTCTGTTCTGCATGACTCTGGAACGTTATAGCTAAGGAGCGGATTTCAGGGTCCCTTGACTTGCCAAACGGTTTCCAGTATGCTTATAAAGTGAGTCTTTAAACACATGATCGTGACAGCCGGGTTATCGACGATTCTACAATACAATAGGCGGCCGCTGGAAAACCCGACTTAGCGAATCACTTCCAGGCTGGCATTAAATCTATCTCGTGCCAGTGGCTCTTGTTCGCCTCATTTATGTTGGTGGCATACCGTACCGTATTGTGCTGAACACTCACAAAAGCCGTGGCCTTCCGCGTAGTTAGACCTTATCCTAGAAGTACAATGGTTGGTCCCTCCGGAACTGGTAATCTTCGTTTGACTTGAAAGGAGCCGTGCAAGAAGGCAGGGATATAGCAAGTATTCTTTCACAAGTTTGACACAAGTCGTACCTCCCAGCCCCCTTAGCTACTTGTACTAAAAAACTAGGACGCTATACGGAAGTTCGTGCCTGCTTATCCCGGCTACAATAGCCATAGCTTGAACATTAGTCTGCCGCTTTCTTACTAAAAAGATTGCCTCAGTTCGGATTGCAGAGTAGTACGGACGATCTACCCAAGGGAACTCATGAGTGGCGACAGTTCTCTTATTCGCAGCTCTTTCTTTCTCCCTCTAAAGCCCAAAGCCCTTCGCTTCGCTCCACTCATTTTAGCATTTCTAATCAGACCTGGCTGAACTGGGAACGACATAGATCAAAGGGTCGTTCATTAGCCCTACTAGTAAAGCACAGGAAAAAGAGGGATTGATTAAGTAAGAAAGTCACAACCATCGAGTCCTTCCTTACTTTGAGGCTCAACACTTAAAAGTTCCTTGCTTTTAGTCTGAAGATCGTTTGGCTCACGCTTTCTGATGAAGGACAGGTCCTGCCCCCTTCCTGCAGTCTATTCAACAGATCGCGCACATAATTCCGGATTTTTAGCAGGAAGCTCTTCTGATTGACTGGCATTTTTTTTACAAATGAGACGCTTTCTTTCCATATCTCCCAGTATACTAACTATTGCCGGTAGCGCTGCCCATACTCTTTTGGACTTTATAATACTAAGCTTGTCTTTGATGTCAATCTGGTTCTGCCAAACCTGGTTTACAATCTTCCTGCATGAGGGTTTTTTGAGCCAGTCCCGTTCTAACTGAACGGAATAGGACCAGGTAGGTAGGAGGTTGTCTTTCTCAACGTGGTGTATAGCACGCAAAACCATTCACAAGGTTTCGCGTCAATCAAGTGTCAATGGTGTGGCACGCGTACTTGATCGAGTCTTTGCCCGCGAGACTGAAAGAAGGATTTTTTTACCAACGTCGGGAAAGATGGTTATGGAAAGCTTATCATGACATCGTTTATCGCGGTTCATGTGTGGCTGCTCGTTCTTTCTTGCCTTTCCTTGTCCAACTGCCAGCGATCTAGTTTCTGCGGGTAGTTGTCCCATCCCCCCTGTTGCCCTTGTAGAAGGAGTTGATAGTGACGGGGCTACTACGGATGGAAACTTCAACCTTCGCCCTCCTTTCAAACAGTCTCTTCTTAGACTAGGGATTTTGGGTTAAAAGAGCAGGTTGGTTATAGGGTTCGCAGACAAGCTAGTATTAAGCTTAATCTAATCCATTGGGAGAAAGTTTACAGCCTTTGAGAGTGTCTTTCCAGGCGAGTTCTCTTACCCAGCCTATGAATTACCGGAGAGCCTGTTTCAGTGGCAATTGCTTTCGTTCTTTCTGTGAATTCTGCCATAAAGGCAGTCTCTAAGAGAGGTAGTATAAATTGAATTTAGCCGATACAGAAAAAAAAAACGTCAATAAAAGCTGCAGGCTTTATCCCTCCATATCATATGCATTACCTATAGCATTCGACCCCTTCCTCTTTGTAGGAGTTCATTTATTTCTACTCATTTCGTCCTACCAGCTAGTTACCGTTCCTCTCCTTTCAGTCGAGCTACTTCGTTCCTCTCCAGGCGGTTTGATTGGAGTTCCTTTTTTTCCCTTCCATTTAGAATCTCTTGCAGTCAGCGCCACTTTCTGGCTATTCAGTTATAGAAAGTTAAAGCCATAGAGTTTTATTTTAGTACTAAGTACCTTCTGTAGTAAGGCTTTTCAGGCAATATAGTCAGACAGTGTATCTGTGCTTCCTCCAGCAGGGGATAAAGCTAGAGATATAAGTGGCCCGCATATTTTTTAGGCCATGTGAACCACATACTCAACAGCTGAGTGGACATTACGATGACGGAAGTGGGCTAATGCTCGGCGGCTAGTCTTGGCATGCTTGACTGTAGAGTAAGGCTGAGCATTGGCACCATTTCTTTTCGGCTTAGTAAGCTAGCTAGCTGGCAGACCTATCCTATTACGATGAAAGTAGTGATCGAAAATAGTGATGTCTAGAAAAGTCCTATTTCCCTCTCGTAATGTCCGTCCGCTAGTCCATTATATGTAGGGAATGGGGATTCGTTGAAACGAGTTAAGTGCCCAGTACATCCATTGTATATGTTCTACTCTTGATAGTTCGTTTACCGGGTATCTATGCCAACAATTTTTGTGAAAATAGGAGGCAGTTATGGGCTGATCTTTCAAAAAGAATTGATTGTCAGGATGGTGTTAGGTGATTTCCCTTGCATAAGGATTTTTTCGGAAAAAAAGAGGCGGAGTTCCTACACCAACTAGATATATCATGAAATTCAATGCAGCTATAGAAAGAGCTGGTCTTGTCGAACCCGGATGGGAAGGGGCAGCTTTCACCTGGACGGATGTAATTCACCCCTTTGGCGCAATCCCGGTGCGGCGTCATCGACTGGTTACGGTGGCCTAAGTCAATCTAATTCCAGTCTTTTCATTGGTCAAATGAAGGAAAACTAGCCCCCACAAAGCAAGAGATACGGAGAAATTTTCTCC